TTGAAGATATAAAACTTTTGAAAAAATTCAAACATACAAAGAAAAACACTGAATATTTCCACAATTTTTTATGAATTAAACTTAGAATTACTTAAATTTTTATCATTTGAAAATTTAAATACAATTGCAATTAGGAAAATTGTCAAGAAATTTGATAAACATACTTTGTTACACAGTTCTCAAAATTTCAACAAAATGATTACATTTGAAAAAAGCTCATTATCAACATCCTCAATTGAACAAGTTATATCAACAGATATTGTTAAACTAGTACCACAACTAGATGATTATTTGTGTCCAATCTGTTTTTCAATTGCCTATAAACCGGTGAGATTAACATGTAATCATTTCTTCTGTATCCGTTGTTTAATTAAATTACAAAGAAGAAATGAACCAAAATGTCCAATTTGCAGGGATCCTGTTGTTATGGATGCTACAGAAGCTAATGTTGACTATGAGTTATTGGAGTATATGAAGAAGAATTTCCCTAAGGAAGTGAAAAAAAAGCAATCTCAAAATGAAAAAGAGGTTACTGATGAGACTTTGAGTACGTTATATGGAGATGATAAGTGTATAATAATGTGAATGTGTGTTTTTTAATAGTTTAATGTTTAATGGTTTGCGATTCAAGGTTGTAGCAATTCGCGAAATTCATTATGTTGAGAAAGTCAAAACAATTCAAGACATAAACAAAAATCACCATCAATCACCAAGCGACAAACATGAAAAAAGTGGGTCTAGCAGCGTTTGATGATAATAAACTAAGGCAATACTCAGAATTGGGACAATCTCTACTTCAAAAGAAGACAAACGAACTCACAACACAGCTTCAACTGTTCAAATCAATCCTTTTGAATTTCCTCAAGGAACATAATGAAGAATTATCAAAAGACATCACCTTAAGAAATGAATTCATCAAAATATGTCAAAGTGTCGGAATCGACCCTTTACAGATCTATGATAAACATGATTCTAAAATGAATGAATTTTATTTCGAATTATGTGTTAGGATCATTGAGTTTAGTAATTCAATGAAGGATATGAACGGTGGGTTATTACCCGTGAATGAATTCTTGTCAAGTTTTAAAGATCTAAACATCACATTCAAAGATGTTGAAATCTCAATTGGGTTATTATCTGCATTGAACGATGAGTTGAAAATCATCAAAATTGGGTCCAAGCACTATATTAAGAATTTCAATATAGAGTTGACAAATGATCAAAATATGATTTTGGAAACAGTGGGGAATATTGGATTCATTAGTGTTGCCATATTGAGAGATAATTTTGGTTGGAAGTCTTATAGATCTCAATCTATCTTGAATGAAATGATTAGTAGTGGGTATTTATGGCTGGATGATAATAATGGTGAATTGTTATATTGGGATCCTGCTTGGTTAACCAAGAGCTGAATAGGGGAACAGAACTTTTTGTTCAACTATTTATTCCAGAGCTGCATATCTTTGAAAGAATGTAATGAACTTATTTCTAAGTTGGTTTCCAAATTCTATTTGCTTGATCAATGCTTTGGACAAAAGTATTAATTTATGGTCCGCTTATTCCCGTGACCTTTATGAAAAGTTGAATTCTCAGAATGCAAAAGTAACAGCAAATTACAAAGGTTTCAAATCTCCTACAAGCTTTGGCAATTTGGAATCGTCCTTTGGGTTATAGAGCAGCCCTGTTACAATTAGCCATGTCACCGTTACGTAAAGATTTAAACATCTTTGGATCATTTTTTCAGTCTAGCCGCCAACAATATTTATAGTTGATGGAATAGAAAAAAGTACCAATTGAAAATGTCCTTGAAAGGCACCTTTATAATATATATTATGCCAATCATGACTTGCAAGTTGGTATAATTGAACAATTGCATCTCTGTATATTAGAAAATTCGCGAATCTCGTTTTGATTTTTTCGTGGTGAAAAAAAAAGAATACGCGTTTCTTGAACAACAACAACAACAATAACCAACACAAGTTCAATCAGAAATGTCATATAATCCAGAAGTTTGGACAATATCTTCTAACGAAGCTTTGAAAGTTTCAATTGCTGATGACCAGGGCTATGTTTCCTTCCCACCTTTATTCACATATCCAATATTTGGTGATTCTGAACAAATATTTGGGTATAAAGATTTGAAAATTGATTTGGTTTTCGACAGTATTACATTCTTACCATTCCTTAAAGTCAGCTACAAGGAGAAATTAAATGATGAAGTTGATGATATAACTGCAAAACTATTGGAATTTTTACCAAAATCTACTATTGTTGATGATGAAGTTAAATGGGTTGACGCTTTCAAAAAGGAACAAGAAGAATTGATTGATTATAATAAAGAATTTGAATTGATAAACACTTATAATGTCAAAAATGAAGAGTTTTCTATATTCAAAACAAGTTTCCAAACTTCTGAGGGAGAAAAAACTAAAGCTGTTGATTTGATGAAGAGATTACAAATCTTTGTGTTATTATTTATTGAAGCAGGTTCATATATTGACACATCTGATGAATTATGGGATCTATTTATCTTGGTCTCCAATAAAACAAAGAAAATTTTAGGATTCAGTACTGCCTATTCATATTTCAAATATAATGGAGCAATTGAGTTTGATTCTAATCCAAATGTGAAAAAGAGAAACAAAATTTCACAATTTGTTGTCCTACCACCATATCAAAAGACTCAACATGGCTCATCATTATACAGCTCGATAATTTCATACTGGAATGGTAATGAACTAGTGGAGGAAATTACTGTTGAAGATCCTAATGAAAAATTCGATGATTTGAGATATAGAAATGATTTTAAAAGATTGTTTGAAGAAGGTTTCATAAATCAATTACCAAAGAACTTGAAAACAATTGATAATAAATGGTTCATCACAAATGCTAATAAATTTAAAATTGAACTAAATCAATTCAAAAAATTAGTGGAGATTGGATATTTATACACAGAAAACATCAAATTAGCAAGATTGTTGATTAAAAAGAGATTATACGAGAAGAACAGAGATGGGTTAGTTGAATTGGAATTGGCAATCCGTAATGACAAGCTACAAACGGCATATGAAAGCATCAAACAAGAATATGATCGTTTAATAGACTCAATCCGTGTCCGTGCTGTCAATGACATCGGCTCTTCAAAGAAACAAAAAGTATAAGTTTATGTGTATAGCAAATAGAAGCTTCTCGGTGTTTCCTTCTGGAACCCTCCTTCCCAATCGGGTGTTTACCACCTTCCCAATTGGGACGTCATTACACTTCCGCATCCGGACGGTCCGCGCCACACAATTTCAAGTAGCAAAGTCAATCGCTAAACGCAATTATAAAAACGCTGAATGATCCTTAACCCTTGTTTCCTTCGAACAATTCACTAAAAAGCTAAGTACAAAACACTAAAATGCATAGAACTTACTCTTTAAGAAATTCTAGAGCTCCAACTGCTTCTCAATTACAATCACCTCCTCCTCCAACTTCAACAACAAAGTCAAAATTCTTTGGTAAAGCTGGTATCGCTTCTACATTTAGAAAGAACGCTGCTGGTAACTTTGGTCCTGAATTGGCTAGAAAATTATCTGCTTTAATCAAGTTGGAAAAAAATGTCTTGAGATCAATTGAATTAGTTGCTAGAGAAAGAAGAGAAGTTGCTAAACAATTATCAATCTGGGGTGAAGATAACGATGATGATGTTTCCGATGTTACTGATAAATTAGGGGTTTTAATTTATGAAATTGGTGAATTGGAAGATCAATTCATTGATAAATATGATCAATATAGAATCACTTTGAAATCAATTAGAAACATTGAAGCTTCAGTTCAACCATCAAGAGATCGTAAACAAAAAATCACTGATGAAATTGCTCATTTGAAATATAAAGACCCACAATCTCCAAAAATTAATGTTTTGGAACAAGAATTGGTTCGTGCCGAGGCTGAATCATTAGTTGCTGAAGCTCAATTATCAAACATCACTAGAGAAAAATTAAAAATTGCATTCAACTATCAATTCGATGCTGTTAGAGAATTGGCTGAGAAATTTGCATTGATTGCAGGTTATGGTAAAGCTTTATTAGAATTATTAGATGATGCTCCAGTTACTCCAGGTGAAACTAGACCAGCTTATGATGGTTATGAAGCTTCAAAACAAATCATCATTGATGCTGAAAACGCTTTAGCTTCATGGACTTTGGACCAAGCTGTTGTTAAACCAGCTTTATCATTACACCACACTTCAGAAGATGTTTATGAACCTGCTGAAGAAGAAGCTGCTGAAGCTGAATGGGCTGAAGAACATGAACAAGCTGAAACTGAACCAGTTGAAGAAACCACTCGTGTTTAAGCGAGGAATTGACATTGTTGTTTCTTTCGTTTGAACGAATTTATCATCAATCAACTTTTTTTTCTCCTTGTGTTGTTGTCTTTTATCGTTCGTCATTTGATTGATTTGATTCATTTTTACAAAACTAGTGACAATTTTTTATTTAATATTTGATCTTTATATTTTTATATGGTGTCCTTTGCGTTACTAGTGCGCTGTTTAATCATATATGAACTTTGTGTTATACTTTGAAAACCATTTTTTTGTATTGCTATTCTACGTGTAGAAATTTCTATTCATTACATTCATTGCAAGGTAAACCACTAAACGCCTATTATAAAAGCAAACTCCCTATCACTCAAGTTTAAACCAGTCTGATGGAAAAATCATTAGCATCTAAAAGTTCGAATTTCTCTTTGTCATTATTTTCAACAATTTCAATGGAGTTTAATGTTGTTAGTTGCAAAAGTTCATAAAATGATTTGACAATAACTGATCTGTTTTGTTGATGTTGCATTAATTGATCAAACTTCATCTCTTGAACTGAATCTTCTTCCAATCTAGTCTCGATAAAAGTTAAAAACTTTATAGTTTTCCTGTCAACTTCAGGTTCTTCATCATCATACATTTCTTCATTATTTTGATAATTGTGTTCTTCATCTTCAGCTAATGCAGGAAATCTTTGAACAGAACTTGATCTTTTCCTCGAGACTCGTTCTTCATCAATATCAAATTCTAAATCAAAATCAAAATCAAAATTATCATTTCCACCACCTCCCGTAGTGTCATCAATTTGTGGATGTTGCAGGTCACCTTCTAATGGAAGATTAATACTAGACATACTAGCTCTTGTGGAATGACGTCTTGAACTTGATGCATTTCTTCTAACTTCAATAGATTCACTTGATCTTCTTGTATTTCTTAACAACCCATCAACAAAATCTTCATCTTCAAATTCACGAACTGGATTTCTACCACGTCTTTCTTCATCAGCTATATTCTTGCCAAAGTTTGGTAAATATGAAACTTCATCAAGTAAATTCTGGATTGTAATACGTGGTTCTGGGGGTTTGGTACGTTGTTGATCCATTAATTCAATGTAGGTATCTCTAAACCCACGCAAATCATTTGTTTGAAGACTAATGGTTTCATCAACAACAAGTGTTGTGAAATGATTTTGAGCTTTTCTCCTTTTTTTCCTAGGTTGTTGAACAGCTTCAGAAGGCTCATTAACAATAGGTTGTTCACTATCTGGAGCTTGTTGTGGTGGTGGATCTTCAACTTCTTCAAGAATTTGATCCAATTCAGGAGGTTGTTGTTGTGCAGGTGCTTCTTGTCTCTCAAGGTCTATATCAAAATCAAAATCAATATCAAACCCATCATTAATATGTAAATCCTCACTTGGTCCAGCATGACCACCTGTTCCAGCCGTTGTTTCATCATGTAAACTAAACAGCATACCTTCTTCATCAAATGCAAATTCCGGATTTTGGGTATCTAAAATATCATCATGATTAACATGTCTTGTGAAAATATCAGCATCTTCTGTGGAGTTAGTCATTGTAGATAGCACAACTGAGACTGTATTATTTTCCAAATCTGATCTTTTAATTTGTGATTTCCTATGATTTGAATTAACCATCTGGGTGCTACTAGTACCTTGTAAGAAACCCAAATCATCCAAACTTGGTAAAAGATCACCTTCAAGATTAAACAATGGATCATCATTCAATAGCACTTGATTATTATGATTGCCGCCCTGTTGAGTTTTTGTCAATTCAATTGGTTTGATGATATAATTTGGAGTTTTGATCAAAATATCACTACTACTACCTTTCTGATTGAACAAATCACGTTGAATCTTGGTTTTTATAAGAGAAGTGTCATTATTCAAGTAATCAGTCTTTTGTTTATAAATCAATGCAACACCATACAACAAATTTGAAGTTAATCTAAGCGCCATTGGAGACGGTGGATTCTTAATAACGTCACATGTCTGTGGAATAGAAACTGATTGGATCTCCTTCTTTGAAATCTTTTTGTAGCTTGTCTTGTTCCCTAATGTTGATAAAAGCCTTTGGAATGTATTAGTTTTGGAACCATAAGCAATGGATCAAAGGTCTTACCAGACAGTAGCGACACCTGAATGCTGAGTTAACAAGAGATCTTGATTTAAAAACATGATCAAATCTGATTCGAAACCAGTGGCAAAAGTAGTAGAGCTCAAGTTTTGAATCTTTTGTTTAATTTTGATGAAAAAAAACATTCCCATGAGACATAAAGATTTGGGTAATTAACTAGGCGAAAACAACAGCCAAAGTTCCCAAAACAGCTAATGTCAAGGCAGTTAAAATTCCAATATAAATGGCTATTCTCACTGGTTTGGAAATCTCTGTATAGTATAATTTCAAATAAAATGATAATGGATAAACAATGCAAATTGAAAAACAAATGGCACTTCCTAAAAAGGACATGATTCTACCAAAATTGGTGAAGATTAATGAAGTGATGAAAAACAACAGAATGACAACTAAACGATTCATGAATCTAATCACAGTATCACTATTATGGCTCTTAGGTTTCAATGATAAATTTAATGTCAATTGGTCAGCCATTGTGATGATTGGTCTTGTGATTAATGGTCCTTTTGAGATTGGTAATAACCCCATCAATGCACAAATGACCAAATTGATCCATTTAGGATAGTCATCAGTGATCATGATTGATTTAGTAACTTGATCAGTAACTGAATTACCAAACATTAAATAACCCAAACTTGCCATTATAAAATCAACAAGCCAAGTGAATGAGAAAATTGTGGTACAAGCACCATTATATTTTTGAGGATGTTTCATATCTCTGTATAATTCTGGGAAAATAGCATGGCCACCAAAAGGAGACATGAAAATACCCAAACTTGATAATAAATGTTGAAAACTCATTGGCCATAAAGAAGTTGGTGCAATTTCAATTAATGAACCTGGGGTAGTGGATTTAATAAACCCACAAGCAAAGACGACACAAACAATTAATGAAGTACAGATGATTCCAATCAAACTTAAATGGGACAATACACTCAGTTTAACAAAGCTCAGTGCGAAAAACACTGTTGAAATTATAATTTTGAAAAAAATCTTATCAACACCAGTCAAGACATTAAAAAAATCTGCAAATAAAATAATCATGGAAATACCAGCAAATAACAAATCCACAGTAAAAGTCATAACCACTATCAAATGTGCAATTCTCCCAAATGAAAATTGGGCAATATCTCCATAAGTTTTCAACTCGGGAGATTTTGTCAAGCATTTAGCCAATATTTTGGCAGTCAATTGACTAGATAATGCACAACCAAGTAATATAATTGAGCCCGGAATCCAACCAGCATAACATAACCCTAACGGGAGTGTCAAAATCCCAATCCCAATCAATGTATTAATCCCATTGAAGATAGTTTGAGGACTTGTGCTATTCCCGGATTTAGACAACACTTCTTCACGAATACTCCTGTTGTCCTCCACATCCTCCACGGCATTTGCATCTATATCGTTTAGTCCAGTGTATGAGCTTGGTAAATCTTCATCAATCAGGGCACTTTCTTCATCTGGTTGATTAGTGCCCATTGTTAATTTTGATGGACGTTGAGGATAGTCAAAGTCTGCATTTAGGAAGTTTGCAGTTCTTGAATATGAGGAAGCAAAGCTGTTTATTGATTTCTTGCCACCAGCATTGAGGACTTCTTGGAATGAGTTATAGAAAGAAGAACGCCTTCTGGAAGAGGATGAAGTTGTTAAATGTTGTGAATCTTGTGACATTGATTGAAATTTGATAATGGGAATGTTGATGCTGTAAGTGAATATTTGAAGAAAAGAAGAGATATAGAAGTGGCAATGCAAGTTATTGATTGATTCTTTGGGAATTAGCTTTCTTTTGAAACCCTGGAGGCTCTTCTTTTCAAGTTGTTGTTATTGTTTTGAATGTTTTTGTCTCATGACAAAGTTGGAAGAGAAAAAAATTCTTTACGCCCTGAAAGTTTGACAGACCAAGAGAATTGGGATATTGCTAAAGATTTTGGTAGTTTGACTGATTTTGTTGGATTTATTATGGCTCATTATGGTGAGCATGGATGAATTCATATTGTTTGAATTGTTCAAGTGGTAGTCTCTTGCTTGTTGGTACTCTCCATACTCATCTCATCTTTGACAGCTTTCGATATGGCACCTTCTTTACTATGAAATTGGATAATTCTCTTGCACTTCCAAACCACACAAAGTCCAAATCACCAGTTGAAAACTAAGTAAACCCACTTCTCTCCAAACAATACACACTCATACTAATACATAAATCCATACAATCTCTGGCAAATGTTTTGGTACCTCTTCTTTAAGCGATCTAATCAAAGGTTACCTGGAGTTCGCGAACCCTTTTGAAAGCTGCGTAAACAAAGGATCAAACAACATTTCATCACTAACCAAGGCATTTGACATCACAGCCCAACCGTCTGGTGGATCAATCATTTGATAATGTCAGTTTCAGAAAACTATATACCACAATCAGAGAACTTGGAGCATTTCAATAACATAGTGGATGAATTGAGATCGATAACTGATGAAAATACTCAATTGAAGAATAATATCTTGACAAAAGTTGATTTATTGATTAAGCAACTAAATCATGGACATGTTGATAATTCAGATGTTATTAGAAAACTGAATGGGTTTATTGCACAGTTTGGTGGTGATGAAGTTGCGAAAAGTAATAATGGTACTGGTGATGTTATGGATGAAAAGACACAATTATTGGAACAAAATAAGAAATTGAAAGATATTTTAGCATCAAAGATTAAATATAATGATGATATTGAACAACTGAATAAGGAGTATCAAGAGGGGATAGATCAAGTGATGCGAGATGTGCGTATAAGGAAGTTCCACTCTGATCATTTAAGGATTGAAAATTTTAAGAAAATTCATGGTTCCATAGCACAATTACAAGATGAAGAATTTCAAACATATTTAATATTGATAAATCATCAAGAGATCTTATCCAAGATAGGTCGTGCAATTTCTGATGTTTTAAAGAATTTGAATCAGGATAGTAGGGATGAATTAGAATTACAAAAATTGTTGACAACTCTTGAACTATATAAATCTTCATGTTTGAATAAAAACGTTGCGGCAGTTACAACACAGCGATTCAAAACCCTTACAAAGAAATTCAAGAACAATGGAGGAAAGAATAATAGTATGCAGAATTTATCCAATGGCAATGGTTATATCAATTATATACCGCCTAATAAAAGGGATCCTGCTCCGTCATTTGATAAAGAGAGTGAATGGCCACCCTTAGGAAGTTAAACTGATTGACTATGGTTCGCAGAATTCATAATCACAAGACACAGGAGGAAACTGGACGGTCTGAAGCGGAACTCCTAGTGATTGATCGAACTGTTGGTTGTATATCTAAAAGATCTTTTAACGGGTGAAGGCGCGTTGAAATTTTGATTGATGAAATGGCCTACAATTTGTTGAGTTTTACATTTTACGAGCACTAGTGTGCTCAATTGATGCACGACGTTATGTTACAGGTTCAGGTGTTAATTTGGTTAGTTTTTGTATAGGGTTCGTCTTTATGATTTGCTATAAAGACGTTTAAAACGAACAAAGATGATCTGAGCCATACACATAGTAGTTATTTCATCAAGTTTCTTTTAGCCCATGTCACTTAACTTTTCTTTCCACCTGGCTGCCTTGAACAATCAAGTGATTGTATAGATTATTGTGATTACTATGTGCATTTCAAACGAACCAATGACATAGAGTTGAATGGGGGCATGAAGGCGTGAATTGTACAACCGTCATGTTTAAGCTTAACGTGTTCCTACTTTTCTATTGGCCAAAGTTGATAGTGATGGCTGCATTGTCCATACAACAATTAAGCCCGACCTGGTCCAATTTTGGCTCGTGTTGTAGCCTGTGATTGGCTGTTTTGCAAGGGCCCGTTTCTGGTTAAGCTTTTTTCTTGACTGATTTTTTTTTCACTTTTATCTGATCGGATATTTGATAGCTGGAGAGCTAGAGAAAGGGGGAAAGAGAGTAGAGAGAAAGGAGAGAAAGGAAGAGTATAATTGATAGTAGAGTAGGTATTTTAATTAGGAGTATCACCATCTTTCTTTGTAGCCTTCGCTTTCCCTTCTCTACGATCTTCATCTGCGTTTAATTTAATTTCATCCATGGGTGTCCTTGACTAAAATTATTTCACACCCCAAAAGAGGACAGCTTTTGTCCACAAATTAAGCTAGCCCATAACAAAGAGATGGAGGAAAGAGAACATGGAAGTTAAAATAATAAAGCTGTTTGTTCAATCATATGATTAATCTTAACCTTCGATCTTCAATCTCAAGTCACTCCAAAGCTTTAGCCCAGGTTGTCTGTTGTAAGCCTTTGAAAAGCTTGTCTTTTTCCCATCCGATTTCTTTTTCATAAAGTTATCAGATTGATCAATATCAGGACATTTCACACCAGTTGTCCAATCCCATTCCAGACCCTATCCCAGAAAAGAGACTACATGGACCTACACCAGGAAACCATCAATACCAAGACTTTTCGTTTTAATCTACACCATCTATGAGCTTAAAACTTTCAACAAAAATGAGACGTTACATGGGAAAATATTTTCATTATATATATATATATATATCTTTTCCTATTCATGTATTTTATAAAAGTATTTGCTCTTGAGCAACGTTTTATTTGCTCAGTGTTAATTGATCGTTAATCATGGGTTCAACTAATAAAGTCTTCAACGTTGCAGTTTTCTTCGTTGTCTTTAGAGAATGTTTAGAAGCTGTTATCGTCATTTCAGTTCTATTATCATTCTTGAAACAATCAATTGGTACAAATGATCTATCCCTATATAAGAAACTAAGAAAACAAGTTTGGATCGGTTCATTCCTTGGTGTTTTCATCTGTCTAGTTATCGGTGGTGGGTTCATTGGTGCTTACTATAGTTTACAAAATGATATCTTTGGTAAATCTGAAGATATTTGGGAAGGTGTCTTTTGTTTAATCGCTACAGTTATGATTTCATTCATGGGTATTGCAATGTTGAGAATTAACAAGATGCAAGCTAAATGGAGAGTTAAAATCGCCAAATCACTAGTTGAAGTTCCAGAAAGAAAAAGAGATCGTTTCAGAATTGGTTACTTGGCTAAAAGATATGCCATGTTCTTGCTACCATTTGTTACCACTTTAAGAGAAGGTTTAGAAGCTGTTGTCTTCGTCGCAGGTGCTGGTCTTTCCACAAAAGGTGCTAAAGCCACTTCTTACCCATTACCAGTTGTTGTTGGTTTAATCGCTGGTGGTTTGGTTGGTGTTTTATTATACTATGGTGTTTCTTATTCCTCTTTACAAGTGTTTTTAGTCATCTCCACCTGTATCTTATATTTGATTGCAGCTGGTTTATTCTCAAGAGGTGTTTGGTTCTTTGAAACCAATACTTTTAATAAGAAATCTGGTGGTGATGCTTCAGAATCTGGTTCAGGTAATGGTTCATATGATGTCACAAAAGCTGTCTATCATGTCAACTGTTGTAATCCTGAAAGAGATAATGGTTGGGATATCTTTAACTCATTATTAGGATGGCAAAATACTGGTTATATTGGTTCAGTTTTAGCTTATAACTTGTATTGGTTAGTCTTGATCGTTGTTGTTTTATTAATGTTGTTTGAAGAAAAAACTGGTCATTTACCATTCTGCAAAAACTTGAAATTGAGACATTTAAACCCAATGTATTGGATTAAAAACAAAAAGAAGAATGAATTGACTGATGCTGAAAGAGATGAATTATTCAGAAAAGCTCAAGATGTTAGATTTAATGAACAAGGTGAAATTTCCGAAGTTAATCAAACTGCTAAATAGATTGGCGTGTAAATATACCTTATATATGATGAATACCTAATATAATAATATCTAATGGGGTGGATGTAGTTAGTTTCGTTTCTGATGGGTTTACATGCTTTGTAGATTCAAATACATCTTGAATTGAACAGAAAAGATATATATCATTATCACTTTTCCGATGAGATTTGAAACTCTACCACACAACAACTTATCCAGATCTATATCAATCTAACATCTCAATACATGTACACCATCATTTGAATTTATCATTCAGGATAATTTGAGCTCCATACAAGTTTTCTTCGTTTTCTTTTAAAATCTTCGCTGCGCCCGTTGGAAATTGCCAAGGCAAACGGCTCGCCTGCAAAATATTTCACATCCCCAAAACGGCAATCCTCCCTAATGCGGAAGCCTTCAACAATAGCGAAATACCAAGCCAAGATTTATACTGGACTTTGAACAACATGAAGCTTTAAAAGTGACACAAAAGTGTTGATAATCTAAACTTAACAACAATCTTTGGGAATTGTAAACATACATGCAAGACCAGCTAATGGGTCTGGTGTAATATTTTGGCTGTTTGGCTTTGGGACTCGATATGTTCAGGTGTTGCAACTAGTATGGCTGTTTTTTTGGGCCAGTCCTTTCCAGCCGGAATCATAATTTGGATGTCCTTTGTCCTTTTGTACAACCAACTAAAGAGAGCATAAGCCCGATGGGTACTACGAGGAATCCTAGGCTGACTCAAGCTTCAAGGCCCAGAAACAAGCTTTTCCAACAAATGGAGCACATGTCGACCAAGCTGAAGAATAAAAGAAGTGGTGAATGGTGGATTGATAGTGAATGGGTTTGAGCCTGGATTGGCTATTAAAATACCTTCCACTACTAAGAAGCTATATTAATTGTCCTCTCTATTTCCAACTTTCAAACCATCGGTGTTTTAATTCGTCTTTTCGTCCAACTTATTTTCATGCAGAACGCATAATCAGATTAATCTGCAACCATCTCTGACAAAAAAAAACTTTCCACCTCCAATTAATATCTCCAACCGTATATATAAAACCAGTTTCTCATCCTTAATTTTCATCTACAACTGTCCCATTGACTTGAACATCATCAACTTGGAAACACACAAACAATGGGTTCAACTTCAAAAGTTTTCAACGTGGCAGTCTTCTTTGTCGTTCTTAGAGAATGTTTAGAAGCTGTTATTGTTATTTCAGTCTTACTATCATTTTTAAAACAAGCCATTGGTGAAAGTGATAGAAAACTATACAAAAAATTAAGATTACAAGTTTGGATAGGTGCCTTTGCAGGTGTTTTCATTTGTTTATGTATCGGTGGTGGGTTCATTGGTGCTTACTATGGGTTACAACATGATATCTTTGGTGGTGCTGAGGATTTATGGGAAGGTATCTTTTGTATCATTGCAACTGTTATGATTTCATTCATGGGTATTGCAATGTTGAGAATCAACAAGATGCAAGCTAAATGGAGAGTTAAAATTGCTAAATCATTAGTTGAGGTTCCAGAAAGAAAAAGAGATCGTTTTAAAATTGGATTTTTAACCAAAAATATTCAATGTTTTTACTACCTGCAATCACCACTTTAAGAGAAGGGTTAGAAGCTGTTGTCTTCGTTGCTGGTGCTGGTATCACCACTAAAGGTGCTAAGGCTTCTTCATACCCATTACCTGTTGTTGTTGGTTTAATTGCAGGTTGTGGTGCAGGTATGTTGTTGTACTATGGTGTTTCTTATACATCCATGCAAATCTTTTTGGTTATTTCAACATGTATTTTATATTTAATTGCTGCAGGTTTGTTTTCAAGAGGTGTTTGGTATTTTGAAAACTATGTCTTTAACAAAAAAACTGGTGGTGATGCTTCAGAATCTGGTGATGGTAATGGTTCATATGATATTTCTAAAGCTGTCTATCACGTTAACTGTTGTAATCCAGAATTAGATAACGGTTGGGATATTTTCAATGCTTTGTTAGGATGGCAAAATACTGGTTACATTGGTTCTGTCTTATCATACAACATTTACTGGTTATGTTTAATCATTGTTGTTGGGTTAATGTTGTTTGAAGAAAAAAGAGGTCATTTACCATTCTGCAAAAACTTGAAACTAAGACACTTGAACCCAATGTATTGGATTAAAAACAAGAAGAAGAATGAATTGACTGATGCTGAAAGAGATGAATTGTTTAGAAAAGCTCAAGATATCAGATTTAATGAAGAAGGTGAATTGGAAGAAGGTTCTTCTCCAGTTGCTGCTAAATAAACACACAATACAGTTTAATGACTTAATAATATACCATATAATAATAATTGAATATTCATGTGTAGTGCATCATTTCTTATCTGATGGATCAATTTTGAAAATCTTGTCAGGGTTCATAATTTTCAAAGGATCTAAACTTAATTTAATCTTTCTCATAACATCAATGGTGTCTGTACCCAATTCTAATTCTAAATGAGATCTTTTAGAAACACCAATCCCATGTTCACCAGAACATGTACCTTCATACTTAATACTTCTTTCTGTCATTCTATCCACTAATGCCATAGCTTTTGTAGAATCTTTAACATCATACATCACTAAACAATGGAAATTCCCATCACCAACATGTCCGACAATTGTAGTGTACAACCCTGTTTGTTCAGTATCTTTTATAGTTTCCTCAATCATTGATGAAAGGTTTGAGATTGGTACTGCAACGTCAGTTGACCAAATTTTAACATCTGGTGAAACTTGAGATCTTCCATAGTCTATTGATGACCAAAAAATAGATTTTCTTGCACTCCATAATTCAACTTGTTGTGTTTCATTTTTGGCAAATTGGAAATTGTGATAATTATGGCTCTTACTTATATTTTGAACATCTTTGATCAATTCTTTCAAAATCTTGGAATTATTATTACCAATTTTGAAAAATAATGTTGGTTTAACATCCCATTTCTTTGAAGTTTGATTTGAATAATTTATGCAGCTCATCATTTTTTCATCCAACAACTCCACTGCGTTTAACTGGACACCTTGAGAAATCAAATCAGTAACAGTATCCGTTGCATCAACAATAGAATTGAAACTAACAACTGCAACTGTTTCATATTTAGGCTTTATATGTAATTTAACAGTAGCTTCAGTGACAATACCCAAAGTTCCTTCTGATCCAATAAACAAATTTGTTAAATTATAACCATTTGAAGATTTTTTAGCTCTTTGCTTTGTCTTTATTATACTTCCATCAGCTAATACAACTGTTAAATTCACAACATTCTCCTTCATAGTTCCATATCTCATTGCATTTGTTCCTGAGCATGAAGTACCAATCATCCCACCTATCAAAGCACCAGGAGCAGGATCAGGACCAAACATTAGCCCAAATGTTTCCAGATACTCATTAATATCTAACCAACTTACACCAGCACCAACTGTTATATCTAGGTCTTTTTCATTAAACTTGATGATTTTGTTTAGTTTGGATAAGTCCACTATTATGCATGGCTGCCTTGTAGAAATGTATTGTCCCTCGATTGAAGTACCCCCAGAGAATGGGACTATTGGTATTTTAAAATCATGGGCAATTTTCATAATATCTGAGACCTGAGCTGTGGAAGATGGATATAGGATCAATTGTGGCTTTTCATTTGGTTCAGGTTCATGAAGGGTATAATTATTTTTAGTATGAGTCTCTATATCATTTGAGGTTTCAGAAACGTTCTCTTTGCCTAATAACTCCAAGAATTTATCTTTAGCTACTTTGAACTCCAATAGATTAGCATATTGTGGAGATGGTAAATCTGCTAGTTCAGTTTTGGAAGAGCTTGGGAATAGAAACTCTGGTGGGTTATTGAAGACTTTTCTCACTGCAAAGTAAAAACCAACAATTGCACCAGTTGTGAATACAGAAATCAATAATACTCGACTTGGAGATTTGGCGTCTGTTTTCGTTGATTTAGCGCTTGATGCCAAAAACCTTTGAAATTGGGTTGTTCTTTGGAAACGTTGCCTTTGTGTGATCCTGAGGCCAATTCGTGAAGCAGCAGCTCGATAAAACATGATTGAACACTCTGTTGAAAGTGTAATTGTTACTTTCTCAGTTGTTGATGATGATGAGTTTTCAAATCTTCGAGATCTCGAAATAGTGGGATGGTGACACGGGATATAATGGCAGATGCTACAACATAATTTAATCAACAGTGAGTGTAATAAAGAAGATAAAGATCCAGTGTTTTTTGGTAGATTGAATTGTCTTATTGGGGCTTTTTCAAGTTTTTATTTTGTCAATGGATCGATATTTCGGCTATAAATTTCGATAAAGCTGTCGAGAATATGCATGATCTATGCCATGATCTAACCACAGGCGATCGTTTAATACGACACTATTTAAGCATAGTCAAGTATAGATAAGTATCGTTTAGCTCTTGGGTATGGAGTAAACCAGTATTAACAACTATCAAATATTCTTAATAATGGTCAAATACAGAACATTGATGCATATAGTACCTTGATGTCCACAACCCACCATCTATATCATATTCTCAACTAGTTCTTATAGGTTTCCTGTTAAAATCGGGTTGAAATATTCATATCGGAACGTTGAAACCTTGATCACCATCAATGGACCCTAATACGCCTAAACTTCACTTATAATCATGGTGCCATATGAATCTAGAAATACTATTCTCAATCTGTATGCTAGGTAGAATTGTATTGTGGAAGCGAAAGGAACCCTATAGAACAATTCTTTACCAAAACTACTCTCTCTAGCCACAACCACGTCCTGAATCCATTTGAAAACATAAATATGCCCTCAAATACACTCTAGAATATTCATCTAAGTAACCAAACTTCTATTAAATTCATTCGCTATCCCATTAAGTCTGTATTACGTTACTCCTATACAACTTTCTGCTTACGCGATCCCTGAGTCAGCACACACGATAAATTTTTTTTGAAGCACGGAAAACAAGCATAAGACAAATGCTCAATATCAAGACAACAGAGGATACTGAGAACAACTACTACCACTTCCACCAACTACAACAGCTCGCTATCATGTCTGCCAATGGAGGTAACCGCCCTAGCAATGGGTCCACAGACGCTGCTAATGGCTACTTCATCAACACCGCTGCTGCTGGTCCAGTCCTTGCTGATGACACCATATTGAATACAACCACCATCCCACCTCAAATATTACAACAACAACAACAACAACCGAATGAACCTGAGAATCAACTAACACAATATCTTCAGGACCCAAACTATATGGCTCTGACGAAACCAGACTCATCTTCATCTTCAAAGGGTAAAAAACATCATACAAAGAGTAAACCAGCATTTGTCCTTAAATTATGGACTATGGTTAATGATCCAAATAACCATGACCTAATCAATTGGTATCATGATGGTAATTCATTCCTTGTCACTAATAGAGAACTGTTTGTTCAGAAAATCTTGCCTAAGTATTTCAAACATTCAAATTTTGCAAGTTTTGTACGTCAATTAAACATGTACGGCTGGCATAAAGTTCAAGATGCAAGTTCAGGTTCATTACATAGTGATGAAAAATGGCAGTTCATTAATCCTAATTTCCAAAAGGGTAGACCTGATTTGTTGGATAAGATTGTTAGAAATAAACCAAATGATGAACATAATAATAGTACGCAAGGCAGTGGTGGTGGTAATAATCAATCAAATGATGGGAATGGTACTAATGGTCAATTTGATGTTTCTTTGTTAATTAATGAACTAAACACTTTAAAAGCTAATCAAATGAAAATTACTCAAGAGTTATCAAGGGTAAGATCTGATAATGAATCTTTATGGCAAGAATTATTTCAAACAAGAGAGAAAAATTTGGTACAGAATGAAAAAATTGAAAAAATACTACATTTCTTAGCAAGTGTTTATGGTAATAGAGTTCAAGCTTTAGAGGATCATATGAATTTCAATAATCATAATCAATTTTTATCAAATCAACCAAATTATGATCATTATCAACAACATGGTTCACAACAGCCGAACCAACAATCTCAACAACCAAGTCCACAAGTTCAAACTCCTCATTCCGTTAATAACGCCAATAATAACAATGTTTCATCACCAGGATATCAACAAAAACCAAGATTAATGATTAAACAAACGCGTCATGTTTCAAATCCTTCAAACGCTTCAACTCCATTATCAAATATAACTACTGATGATTCTCCAATTCAAGAGATTATTAGAACACCAAATTTCCAAAATTATGTATCTACACCACAATATCAACAACCACCAACACCTCAACAATATAACAATAACCAACAATATCCTCCCCCACAAGGTTATGGTCAATATTTACCTTCAGATGATTTCCAACAAACACCACCATCATTATCAATGCAACCACCAGCTATCCCAGCTCAACAACAACAATTCCAACCACCTCAACAGGCCCAATTTATGGCACCTGAACCAGGACCTCCATTACCACCTCAACAACAACAACAATACCCACAGCGTCCTGCAGTAGTGACCCATCAACCAAGTTTTGAAGACTTGTCTAAAACTATTGAACAACAAGGCCAATCCATAAATGATATCATCAATAGAATCCAACAAAACCAACCACCGCAATCACAGCAGAATCAACAAAATACAGGGAATTCTTCAACCTCAAATTCAGATTCTCAACCACAAACATTTGATCTTGATGAATTTTTAAACCAAGATTTAATACAAGATGATAATAATACTGGGTATGTGGAGACTCCAAAGATTGGTACGATTCGTGAAATTTTTGATGATGATCAATTGAGTAAAAAACATGCAGATGATGATGAAGAAGATGAAGATGGTGAAATTGAAGAGATTATTAATCCTAGTAAGAAGAGAAGGGCTAATTGAAAAGGGCTTAGTTGGTTGATTATAGAGTTTACTTTTGTTATGATTATGTTTTATATATTACTTTAATTGGGTATAAGGGTTTCTTAACTGTATATTATATTTAAGAGTTTGTAGTTAGTTATTTGAGGATATGATCATATCTAAACGAGGTTCCTGGGGCTGAATAGAGAAGCTGGTAGCCCATGCGCACTGGAGTTAACAACCAAAATTATGACACCAAAATCCTGGTTTTGAGCATAGGATTAAGGTTATAACACAGTACAGCTTGAATCTTTGGTTGATGAAAACGGAGAATTCGAATTTCTTCAGATTATCGACAATACACCCAAAAGATCAAATACACCCCCAAGCAATGAGCCATACGTATAGCTATTGATTGAGTTTGGAGATAGAAAGTACACAATTACCAGAAATGTGTATTTCTTGCTGGCTCAAAAGCTCAAACTCCATTTCCGTGGAGTTATTTCTTGTCGACTGGGTTGTGAACATGCCAACGGACTGAACATGGCTTGAACTAAAACAGATTCTTTTTACGACAATCTTCAAATGACTGCCTCTCCGGGTCCTGTGCACTTCCGCAGTAGCTGTTACAGGCTGTTGAACTTGGTGTAGGTCCGTTAGTATGCTAATCTAGGCCCAAACCGTTTTATTCGCTATTTTTCAATCTGGTTATGCCTTGGTAATCATCATCACCCCATGGCCAATAACCAACCAAAGCCAACATTTTAAAGAACCTGAACAACCATAAATTCACACTATTCTATTCAACTTCAACAGCTCTTAATACCGAACCAAACGTGTGCCTTCCCAACGGCCAAGTGCTCGAGCACCATTTCTCAAAATCTCCTGTCCTCTGCATCAATTTGACCATCTGGGGCAAGTTGGCGAGGCTGAAACATCACACGGGAATGGGAAAAGGAAAAACCCCAGAATCATTCGATCATGACATATGTACAGAGGAGATCCAGGTTGCAGCAGTCTTGATGCTCGTGGACTTAAGAACAAGAGAGCTACGACGAGTTAGTTTGAAGTATTCATGTATCATAAGAATTCGTATAATCTATCTAGTGTACTCTATGTAAGAAATGTTAACTGTGTTGAAATAAATATTTAAATAAACTGTCTGTCTAGCTCTAGTGTGTGCGTGTCATATAAGTCATAAGCCTGTCATAAAATAATCGTGTATATCATGTTTAATATGTTGTAGTTTTCTTTATCTTCTGAATAGTAATTCTCTAAGTTTTTTATCATTATAACCTTCCTTCTCCTTCTTGAATACATCTTTTAAATCACCCAGAATCTTAAAACTTTCTGGATATTTATCTTGGTTGAAACCCAGAAAATCTTCACCATATTTATTCAAGAAAATTTCAAAATCACCTTCATTGATAAGATCATACTCAATATTATTTGTAGAACTTGAAGTGGTTGAAGTGTTTGTAAAGTTTAAAAGGTTTGTCATACTTGAATTCATAATTGAATTGGATTGTAAAGGACGTGAATTGACCCTAGATAAAGATGCTGATTGTAATAATGTTGGTGTGTTTGATATTTGAATTGGCATGAAATTATTTGAAGCATTATTGATCAAATTTTCATAGTTGTTTATATTTGTTTGTAAATAATCTTCATTCACATCCAAGTTCAAAAAACTTTGTGTACTTATTGATGGTTTCATTGGGTTTATACCACTCATATTCTCCAATTCATTGGTGATGTTGGTGTTATTGCTATATTCAACCAATGTATCTGTAGATGAAGTGCTTGAAGAGGTATCTGAGGTTATAGAAGCAGCATCACAATTCGGCGAAGATAAAGATGTTGTGGATAATTTGCGCATTCTTGATTGTTTATCTAGCCCATGTCTTTTCTTGAATTGAGATAACCATCCATGACTGAAACTTAACAATCTCTTTGGATCTTCAACACCATATCTATTGGCAAAAATTGCCCAATTCTCTCTGAGGAATGGTTCATTGATTGGTTTTTTATTTTGAATTCTCTCTTCAACTAATTTATCCATCTCTTCATTGATCTTGTCATATTTGAATCTTAATTTTCTTTTAGATTTCTTGAGAAATTCATTAGAATTATTGTATAAATTTCTTAAACTCTCTTCATCTTTTAACCATTCACTAAAAGACGATGTGGATACGGAATATCTATTCTTGAACAATTCAACAGTATCAGCTTGTGGTTTATTTGATTGATGATAATGATTTAAAATCATAATCTTCTCCTCTAATGTAGTTCTTGGTTTAGTTTTAGGTTTTGAAACTTTATAACTGTTGGTTGCAATACCAGAGGTATTGTTCAAACATTGTGGAGTGGACATAAGCATTGACATAATTGGAAAGTGAACCTGTTTTGTTCTAGTACCCAAGTGTACTAATTTAAAGGTTTTGGCCAAAGTGCAACCTCCTTTTTATTTATACACAAAATTGTACCTTCTATAAAATTGGAATCTCTATAATAATCTAAAATAATACGGGAGATGGAAACGGCTGTGGGAAGATCCAAGTGAAACAACAACAGAAATGGGATGGTTGTGCTTGTATACTTTTCTTGTTCTGTGGGTTCCAGTATGGTGTGCACATAGAAGTCACCAAGACTTCAAAAGAATTATCAGTTTATACATCAAGACGTTCTAATCACCGTCAAACAACTTTTTTTTTTGATATTCTCGAGATTCGAGAAATGCACAATCACAGACGAAAGTTCCGGTAAACGCCGAGCCTAGCCGAGGATGTCATGTGATTAATCATGTGACTGATCACGTGTGATAATGAGAATATAAAGTTTACTACTACAAAAGATGGGAATAAATTACTAGCACTTTGGTAAATTATATCAACTCATTTATACAGCAAGAATGTGTAACCTAATCAGACCCTAAAAGAATTAACTAGCTGCGAATACATATATAGCTCATTACAGCTTAATTGTGTTGTAACTTGTTAACCTTTCTTTTTTTAAAGCCGCAATTTTTTTTCAACATCTTCGAGACCAACCAAGTTTCAAGATTAACAAGTTCTATCACGATTCACAACCTCGATTCATGAATCTACAAACCAGCGTCCATCCCACCTTTCCCAACGGATAATCAAACCATATTGAAACAACTTTAAAGTACTGTTGAAGTGCATGATGATGGTTTCTCGGCTATTTTCTTTTCATATCCCAAATTTTACCCATTGAAGTCCAAATAAGGAAATTCAAAAGCATCTCAACTGATTTTGATATATAAATTACAGACAGTATCCTCAAAAAAAGTTTTCAAAAGAGTTGTATAGATCAGTACTCCATATTTCATTCATTTATTATTTCGCAAATGGTTCAAATTCTTTCATTTTTAACAGTTTTATCAGTTTCTGCATTATCACTTGCACAAAGCACAATAACTTCATCAGCTAGTTATAGTCCAGATCAACTTTCATCAGCTTCTTCAAGAGCTTTACACTCTGATGCTTCATTTGTTTTAGCATTTTTGGGTGATTTTATAAGTCGTTCAACTTATTTAAATTTCATGAGGGAAAATTCAATGACATATCCCGTAGATTTACAAAATTATGTTGTTAGATTACAAAGTATTACTGATGATCAAAGTTTAATAGCTGCTTTAGAAACTAGAAGTTTCCCATTCAATGATTTTGTTACAATGTTTACCAAATTTGATTGGGCTTCAAGTTTTATGAGTGAACAAGGTGTTTCATCATTTTATGTTCCTCAAGATTTCTTAACTGCTAACGGTGCTGATGCTTCAGTTACCCAATCAGGTTCTCAAAGTAGTGGATCACCATCATCAAGTGGTTCTTTCGCTTCCAGTACTGGCTCTTCTTCATCAGGCTCTTCAGGATCAATAACTTCTGCAGCAAGTTCTTCAAGATCTGGATCTTCATCAGCTACAAGCTCCCAAAGCTCAAGTTCTGCAAGATCCTCGACTTCAAATGGTGTTGATTCTTTATACATTCCAATCATATCATTACCTGTTATGTTTGTTTCCTTGTTTTTGCTATAATGGAGAGGTT